TCATCATTACAAAGACAAACACAACAAACCATTTTTAAAAGCTCATCTTCACAGTAATGGAAGTAAGACATTAACAGGGTACAGCCAACATTGTGAGCGTAACTCAAAGGCCTGGGAAAAACGTGACACCAAGCTAACAGTCGTTCAAAATGTGATATGAAAAGAAGGCTTTGTGTGTTTGCTGGAATCAGAGATAGTAAAAGACTCTTCAGTATTTGTTCAGAGAAGAGACATGAAAAAACTCATCAATTTCACAGCCAGCAAAGTACATGTGTGGGCTTTCTCTAATTACATTAGAAAAAAAACAGTGTGTGTACCTCCAGTCCGTGCCGAAGGACCCTTAGAGTGGACCGGGGTCCTCGTCCACATGATACATAAAGCTGAGGTGTGTCCTCATTGGCCAAATCAGCAATCTGGAAGAAAGTAGGAAGAGCGTAGTCAATGAGCCAGAAATATTCTGGTTTAAGATTTAAGAAAAAAAAATCTTTCTGTCTCACACCGCAACAAGTTCAGGCAATTAGATTAGTCCCCATGTTAATCTGACAGGACACACACCTGACAGGACATGATTGGTGACAGGTTCTCCTGTTCATCCACCAGCACAAGATTTTTAAGTGGACGTGGCTGAAAGAAAAAGGTGTCTCCCTCTTCCAGCGGCATTGCCGATGAGAACTCGGGCTCATCATCATCATCACCCAAGTGTGCAATCTGGTAAAGGTAACTAAGGGAAAGAGAAATAGAGGTTAATCAAAGTCTGAGAGATACAAAAAGAAACACTTGAGTTTCTGTTTGCAACCTACTGGTTTCCAAACTCTGAAGACACAAAGAGGAAGCCAGTCTTCAGGACACACATCGCTGTTGCAACGGGAATTGTGTCAAAGTACTTCAGCCTAATTTCTGTGACCTAAGAGACAAAACAAGCATCTTTTTTTATTACGGGAATATGTATTATAATGAGCATAAATAGAAAACCAATAATGGTAAATGGTCTGTATTTGTATAGCGCTTTACTTAGTCCCTAACGACCCCAAAGCGCTTTACACGTTCAGTCATTCACCCATTCACACACACATTGACAAAAGTTCAAGAAATGTTAATGAAGAATTTAAAAGTAATCCCTGCTGAGAACAAGAGTATTTGTGTTTGCTACTTTCTTGCTAAGCTAATGTCAACAAGCTACAGATTTCCCTATAAAAGTAAAAGAGTGAGTTTATAAGCGTTTGGCTCTTTTTGAAGAAGCTGAGGAAGCTAATCAAATTGAAAGTGAGCTTTTAATAAGATGAGCCATGAAAAAGAAATCGAGTAAAAAGCCTATTTTCAGACATTGGATAAACTGAGCAATTACATAAACTGGGCAGGATAAGATAAATACGACATGTTTATCTAGTGTTTGTTAATCAAGCAACTGTGATTCTAAGAAAGAAAAAAATAAAGGAAAAAAAACAGAAGCTGGAAGTGAACATAATTAGTCCCATTAAATAAATTTGTTAAAAATGCCTAGTTTCAATCCATCCTTACCATTTCTTCATCAGTTTCTAGAGTAACCTTAAAGATGTCTCCCTGCTCAGTCTGGGCCAGAAAAAAGAACATGGACTTGGTCTTGTGGGTAGCTGAGCACACAAATATCATGCCACGCTCTGGGTCATCCAGGTCGTTCTGTGGGGTGGAGCAAAAGAGAATGTGAGGGAGGATGAAAATAGACGTTCATGCAAAGAACAATGTGGGACTTGCAAAACAACCAAAATTCCACATGAACAGAGAAAAAAATGTTTAAAATCTACTTAGTGACTCACAGCTTAAAATCAGGTAAAGTCTCATGATGTATACTGATGTTATGATGCATCAAAACACACTTAAAATCTGCACAGGAAATCCTGTACTATAAATATTTGCTTTTTAATGTGCATTCCTGTAAGAAGGACTCACTCTACGCCGTGGAATGGGACAGCGAATGTCAGGCTGGTCTCCAAAATTCTTGTACGTGATGTAGTTTTCAGAGCAGATTAAAACCCCACTGGGCCCATCAGAACCACCAGGAACTAGAAGCATTTAGAAAGGTTGTCATTTTTAAAAAACATAATGATGAAGGAGTAAGAATTTCAA